CATGTTATGCTATATATTAAAGGTATTATGATAGATTTTATTATCTTCACTATTATTATGCATGTAGCACTATAAAATAAAAATGGTTAGCCTTAGTTTGAGTTATACTCAAAAAGGGAGGATTGTTGAGGATTCTAGCAGTACGTTTAGGGACAAATGGTCAGAATAAGGGTCACGTAAACATCTGGTAGAACATTCTGGAAAAGTTGACATCATCAGTAGTCCACAAAAACATTTAATGTGTGTATTGGGTGGTCTTAAATTTCCAGCCCATTCTGGGAAGAGCCCACCCTTTCCTGACTTTGTATTATCACAAACAACTGGGGTATAAAAAGTTCTGGTTTCTAAATACGTCAGTTCAGTTTTCGAATGCCTGTCCTGTCGGTTGAAGCGTGCTACTGAACTCAATAAACTCCCCCTCCGGCTGGCCAAAATYGATGTCTCCTCATCTTTTTTCATTTTGRCAGTGATCTTCTCTGCCCCTTCATTTTCACCAACACGTGTCTCCTCTCTGTCCTTAGGTTGTCCATCGTTCTGCAGGTGGACAGTTTTGCTGCTCTGGGTTCTGAGGCTGGCAGGTTCAGCTGCTGGTCCAGGTTCAGGTTGGTTTGCAGGATTTTTTACATCACAACAATAAATGGTAAATGGACTGAACTTTCATAATGCTTTATCAAATCTCMACAGACTCCAACATGCTTTACACTGCAGATATTCACACACTGATACCAACATCACATATCACACATAGAACATTATCTGATAGTCCAATGAGAACATTCTTGTCTCCTTGATTCTCTGTTTGTCCTTCCTTGTCTCCTGCAGTAGAGAATTATGAGGTATCAGGTGATGATCTCTGATCTCTGCAGTCAGACCAGCTGTTTCCCACACAGTCTGATCAACAACATGTGGAGGAAACAAACATGGACCCAGGAGGAGCTGAAGACCATCAGAGACCTCAAAGTCCTCCAGCACCATGAGGTGGCAGCTCAAGGAGGCACAGGTGTGTTGATGAGATGGAGAACAGGTTCTGATTCATTGTTGGGTTCAACAGAACTCTGCTGCTGTTCTGGAGTTCTGTCAGACATGTTGATTGGTCCAAGTTCTACTGCTTCATCAGGAGGAGGAGGAGGAGGATGGCGGGCCAGCCTTCTCTTCACAATAATAACAATCACAGCAGGAATCATCAGAGCAACCACAGACAGAACTACCAGAACCACCATCAGTCCAGAAGGTCCTGCACTGGTTCCATCCTGGTGTCCTCCATCATGTCCTTCCTGTTGTCCTCCATCACGTCCTTCCTTGTGTCCTGCAGCAGAGAATAATGAGGTATCAGGTGATGATCTCTGATCTCAGACCTGCTGATTTCTACAGTCTCATTAATAACATGTGGAGGAAACACACACACACACACACACACACACACACACACACACACACACACAC